AGTTTTACATGTAACGTATTAAATGTATAGTAAATTCAAGGATTTTTTTTAACGGTCAGTTTCAACCCTGAGGAAGATTTATCATAGTCTTGAAAATGTTTTTCTAAACTCTTTTTGATCAATTAATTAATTCTGATTTAATTGTTATGGTAAATGAAAAAATATATTTTAGTGTTTTGTTTGTGTGTGTCAACTGTTTTACGAGAAGTGATTAATGTTTAATAACCGGGAAGATTATTATGAAATGGGTTCAACATTATTCAACAGATGATGAATTGGGGGAAATCAGATTAGAAAGAAGGAAGAGGAGAGAAACTCCAAATCTCTGGATGAAGATCTATTCACCGTGCGAGACACCTCCTTCAAAGTCAATAAGCAAACGTCTCGCATCATAAAAATCTTTGAAAGGGTTCTAACCACCAACCACTTGCCCTACCCAGGGAAACATGGGTAGTGCAGCTACTGGACCACTATGACATGGGCTTGGATGCAGTGGCAAACGAACAAAATGGTGTAGCATACACAGACAAATGCGCTCACACAAAATGCGCGATAAAGAAACAACAGAAGACGTGGGTAGATCTGTAAATTCCTAACAGGTTATTTAGCTGATTTTAGTGCTCTCATGTTTATCTGTAAGGCCCTAGTGTGCAGAGGCCTGTGTAGTGGAGAGTGCTCGTGGAGTGATATCTCTGCGGGTTAAAGAGACCGGCAGTATGGGGTGGAGGGTGTCATGGAGCCTCCTTGTACATAAATATGAGTGCTGGGTAAAGGTGTGCTGGTGTATGGTGATTTTTGTATGTAGGCTAGGTAGTATGTGGTATACTTATACGTATACCACATACTACCTAGCCTACATACTCCACGAGCACTCTCCACTACACAGGCCTCTGCACACTAGGGCCTTACAGATAAACATGAGAGCGCTAAAATCAGCTAAATAACCTGTGGCATAAACTTCCCCAAACACACCATCCCAACTAATACAAACATCAAACCGTGCCATCTTCCTCCAGTTGCTGTGCTTCTCGTACTGACTCAAAAACACACCTCACCTGCTCCTGTCCTGGATACTCTTACTGACCAATAATAATACGCGTCTGGTTTCAGAACAAATCCCTTAAATTGATATATTTGGAGCGTTTTTTATACACATTTTATAAAACACTGCGTAATACCTCATTTCTACCTTGGTTATCTTTCTACTACCACGTGTGAAGGCTTCAAAACTACACCTGTGTTCGTAATATTTATTGTACTTATACGTGCAGTGAAAGTTCTCTGTATATTCTCAAGGTCTGCAATTTCGCTTGCATTGAAAAGGGCTTTTAGTGTACAAAACTACTGCATCCTAGAGAAAACATACGATTTGAAAAAATAATCACTGGATTGACGTCAATAGTTTTGAAGGTTCTCATTATCCATCCTATTTTTGTGATCTTTGAGAGATTCTCTGACATTATCACTCCCATGTCCTTCACATTAGTTTTTCGCTCTATTGTGTGGTTAGAATTTGTTTAATACTTTCGATTCCAATTTTTATTTCCCTCAAGTTTTTTTCCATAGCGGAGTACTTGAAATTTAATCCTAACTGACCTTCATATTGTTGTCTGGAACCCATTTGAATTCTTGGTTAATTTTCGTTTCAGATATATATCTGTCCTCAATGGTGGGCTGTTCTTGCACATTCCCTGGAATCGTCAACAATGGAAGACATGGTTCTTATGGTTCGCATCTCTGTGTCAGATATGAGGATGACGAAAAGGATGGGACGAGTACTGTGCTTGTGGAACTGTTTTTTCAACTGTTAGTCGCCTCGTCCTTTACTCTCTTTAACTATTACTCTTGTGTCTTCTATACGTAGGAATTTACAGATCTACCCACGTCTTCCTGTTGTTTCTTTATCGCGCAATTTTTGTGTGAGCGCATTTGTCTGTGTATGCTACACCATTTGTTTGCTTGCCACAGCATCCAAGCCCATGCCATTGTGGTCCAGTAGCTGCAACTCACCCATTGTCCCCTGGGTATGGGGCAAGTGGTTGGTGGTTTAGAACCCCTTTTTCAAAAGATTTTTTACGATGCGAGACGTTTGCTATTGACTTTGAAGAGGTGTCGCGCCACGGTGAATAGATCTACATCCCAGAGATTTGGAGTTTCTCTCCTCTTCCTTCTTCTAAATCTGATTTCCCCCATTCAGCATCTGTTGAATAATGTTGAACCCATTTTCATAATAATCTTCCCCGGTTATTAAACATAATCACATCGCGTAAAACAGTTCGACACACACAAACAAAACACTAAAATATATTTTTTTTTTCATTTAAACCATAACATTAAACCAGAATTATTAATTGATCAACAGAGTTCAGAAAAACATTACAAGACTAAGATAATCTTTCCTCAGGGTTGAAACTGACCGTTAAAAAAAATCCTTGAATTTACTATAACATTTAATACGTTACATGTACTGAACAATTTGTTCCTAGGCCGGAAACATATGCTGAACACTTACTCCCAGATCACAAAAATGGTTCTTGTTCCACCACTGCATATATGACTGTGAATGCTAAGGAAACAGTAAGATGGTTTGGAAAATTAAGGTGATGCCACAGTCGCAGCCTGTGACGTGATGGGACTGTCGAGAGCCGAATGAATGCTTATAGTTGGTATTGGTGTAGGATGATAAAAATTTAGGTAATGGTAGTTGATGGATGGTAGGTTGTGAATAGATGTCTGATAGTAAGTGAGTGAATTAATGTTAAATGGAGAGTTGTGGTCAGTGATAGATAGTGATGACTTTATAAGCTGAAATAATGATTGGTGATGGTGAGATGTTAATGAGCATATGAACTCTGTTGTGTGGTTGCATTTTGAAAGTGAGTTATATGAGGGATAGTTATGGTCGGATGAAATTAAGGGCTGTTTAATGGTTCTGTATTAATGAAGGATAGTATAATAAATTGCTTATTTTCCTTCTTTCTGTCCCAATGGCATATAGATACCAAGTAAATCTATAGAACTCACTAATTTCAGTGTTCATATATCAACGCTTTCCTCTGTGTTAATAATCATTATTAACTTTTCTGTGTTTCTTTCCACTTGACATGACGAAGCAGTTAGAGTCTCTCCCTGTCAGTCACAAATGACTATGGAAAATAACCTAGAGGGTGACCACAGATTGAATATCATTGTCATAGAAAATACTTTTTAAGTTAGCTCTGCTTGAGGAACAATTATAAATTGTAGTTTTCAAACGAACCATAAAAAAATCAAACCCACTCGAAAGTTTAAGAAAAATGTTAAGACCTATGAGTAACCAACAAGAAGTGTAGAGGACTTATGACTAACCATACCGGAAGTTATGAGGCGCCCATGAGTAACCATGTTGGAGTAATGTGAGGACACTTGAGTAAAAATGAAGAAGTTTGCGTTAATAAGCACTTACTAGATTTAAGACATTTTCGTAATCCAGCAACCTAATGCAAGATGGGTTTTCTGAACAAAGTCAAGATTGTTGGAAATTTTCTTGACTTTATATACACATACAATGTAGATCCTGGTGGAAGAACGTGGTACTGAACGGCCAATGATGTGGTCCATCAAATTTAATGAATCTGTTGATTAAAACAGATCTGGAATAGACACTCATATTGGAACATTCACATTAAGCACTAAATATTGTTCACACCTGTTTCTACCCATGTGAGCCCTTCGCAAAAGTGGAGGGTTTGAAGTGAGTTTTGGTGGTGAATAGTTGGGGGCGCGTTGAGGTGATGGAGTGGTTTGGCAGTGATTGGCTGATGGATGGTTTACAGTGAAGATGAAGGTGGATGGAATGGTTACAGAGAGTTTGAGGTGACGATGGTTACAAAGTGAGTTGAGGTGATGGATGGTTTAACAGTGAGTTGAGGTGATCTTATGTTATAGATCTACTGAGAGTTGTGGTTACTGATGGTTACTAGTGTGTTTGGGATTATGGATTTCCGACAAGTTAGGTACATGATGTTGATGGTGATTGTAGTAATGAACTAATTATAGTGAGCAAATGTTTGTGGATATTTATAGTGAGATGTGGTAAAAGATGGTTGATGAGTTACAGAGATGAATGGGTTATTGGAGCTGTGGAGATGGATGTGTAAACGAGCTGAAATTTTGAGAGTAATGGTGGTTTTTTATAAGTAATGGATACTTTGATACACTGCTTGATTCTCTTTTCTTGGTCACAGTGTACTTACAAGAGATAAATTATGCTGAAAAAACCAGTATCGTGACGAAATGTGGTTGGTCAGCTCAGGTTTGTTTGCATAAGTTCTTCTATGTTCCATTGTGTCTTATTTTCCAATACCAGGATCATCCTTATATTGCATACCAGGACATCATTATGATTCCACACAAGGTCATCCTTATACCCATACCAGGGTCCTCCTTATATCCCATACCAGGTCAACCTTATTATCCCATACCAGGTCATCCTTATAATCCCATACCAGTCATCCTTATATCCCCATACCAGATCATCCTTATATCCCATACCAGATCACCTTATATCCATAACCAGATAATCCTTATATACCATACCAGGTCATTACATCCCATACCAGGTCATTCTTATATCCGCATACCATGTCATTCTTATATCCCATACCAGGTCACCTTATTATCCCATACCAGGTCATCCTTATATTGTTATGAACAACACAGTGTTCAATTGCGACGTAAACACGTCCTATGAACATAACGTTAAGCAGTATTTGTAATCTAAACATTAAGAAAAAAGAAATAACATTGATTGCCACACAAAAGGTACAACACTGGCTAACATTTCAACAATGAAGTAAAGTCAACACAATTATTTTTATCAATATTCACTAACATTCACAAATCACAGTAATGACATCATAAAGTAGAGTGGTTAGTTAAGACAGAGACGTACTGACAACTCATAATTGTTTTTTATGAATGGATTGATTATCACCAGTTTCTAGTTTTTATTTTCATCCATAACATTCATAGTGTGGTGTGGTGTGTATGTGTGTGTGTGTGTGTGCTTTTGTGTGTGTGTGTATTGTGTGTGTGTGTGCTTTGTGTGCGTGTGTGCGTGTGCCGGTGTTGTGCGTGAGGGGGGGGTTGCCCGTTGTGTCGTGTGTGCGTGTGTGCGTGTGAGCGTGTGGCGTGTGTGTGATGTGTGTGTGTGTGTGTGTGGTGTGTGTGTGTGTGTGTGTGTTGTGTGTGTGTTTGTGTGGTGTGTGTGTGTGTAATGCTATTTTTGCTAATAGTGGCGCAATAATTTCGCAGAAATGATTCTGAACCTAATGAAAAAAAAAAATATTTCATTGTGTTTGTTTATTAGCTAATTATTGCAAACTTATCTAAAATATATTTAGTTGGATGATGCTAAATTAAATTGCGCTTGTTATAATAAGGTTAGGTAAGTTTAATAAGGTTCTTTACGTAATAAAAAATATTAAATTTTACGTAAGCATATATGAAAAAATATATCTTTAAACGAATAAGAGAAAATTTTAGAAAGGACTTAATTTTAAATGAGTTCTTTCTAACTGACCAGATTTACCTATTCAGCAAGACATACACACACACACACACACACACACACACACCACACACACACACACACACACACACACACACACACACTCAGAAGTGTCCCTGTTGCAGATGATGTTAAGCTAATGAGAGAATTAAAATCTGATGAGGACCAGGCAGGAACTTCAAAAAGCGACCTGGACAGACTGGACACCTGGTCCAGCAAATGGCTTCTCGAATTTAATCCTGCCAAATGCAAAGTCATGAAGATAGGGGAAGGGGCACAAAGTACCACAGACAGAGTATAGGCAAGGTGGCCAAAGTCTGCAAACCAGACACTCAAGGAGAAAGATCTTTGGGGGTTAGTATTTGGGAACACGCGGAGCAGTCTCCGGAAGCACGCATCAAATCCAGAATCTGCTGCAGCATATGGCGCCTGGCGAAAAACCTGAGAACAGCATTCCGATACCTTATAAGGAATCGTTCAAGAACCACTGTATCTACCGTGTATGTCCAGGCCCATACTGGAGTATGCAGCACCTGTTTGGAACCCGCACTTGATAAAGCACGTCAAGAAACTAGAGAAAGTACAAAGGTTTGCGACACGGTTATTCCAGAAGCTAAGGGAATGTCCTATGAAAAAGATAAGGGAAAAATCGGCCTGACCGACACTGGAGGACAGGAGGGTCAGGGGAGACATGATAACGACATATAAAATACTGCGTGGAAATAGACAAGGTGGACAATGACAGGATGTTTCCACAAGGGAGGGGGACATCAGAAACAAGATGCCACAATTGGAAGCTGAAGACACAAATGAGTCAGAGAGATATTAGGAAGTATTTCTTCAGTCATAGAGTTTGTTAGGAGTGGAATAGCCTAGAAAATACGTAGTGGAGGCAGGAACCATACATAAACACAAGTTTTAAGACGAGTTGATAAAGCTCCTGGAGCGGGGAGAGAGAGGGCCCAGTAGCACTCGGAGAAGAGGCGGGGCCAGGAGCTAAGAACTCGAAACCCCCGCTGCAAACCACCAATATGGTGAGACGAAATAGTGAGGTACACACACCAACACACACACACACACACACATATGTAATATATATATATATATAATATATATATTATATATATATTATATATATATATATATAATATATATATATATATATATATATATATATATATATAATATCAATCATTGCAACTGCACTAGCCAAGGCTAAAATGCAGGGAGAAATGGGCTACAAACCCCTTCTCTTTGCAATGCTTAAATGTGCATGGGATGTAGTAGGGGGGACGGATGATAAAGAGAGATCGCTAATGGTTATTTATGAAAAGAATTGAGTCCCTGGCATCTAAAGCGAAGTCAAAGCGGAAGTGGGGTGGGAAGGGGGTGGTAGTTTCATGGGGATGAAATAAATGGGAAATTAACTCGGAAGTAATCTGAGAGAATTGGAGCTTAGGTAGGGTAGCAATATGTTGAAGGATCATAGAATGATATATTCAAGGATTATGTGGATTTTAAAAATTAGGTTTCGGTGCAAAAAAATGGGTTATCAGTGTGTATACACCCGATAAGAGACGAAGTGTAGAGGAAAGAGAAGAATTTTGGGAGATGTTAAAGCAAGTGAGTAGGGATTTTTGCAACGCAAGTGAGAGAGTAAATAGTGGTAGGGATTCAAATGCTAAAGTGGAGAAATCTTTAATGAGGTGGGTGGGGTAAGCGTTTGGGGTGCAGTTGTAAATGATAATGGAGCCCTTTGAGATTGAATTGGTATAAAAATGGGTTTGGTTATAGTAATACATATTTTAAATAAAAAGAAGGATAAATATGTATACTCCCAAGATAAGATGCTGGACGTAATGACAGTAGTTTGTTGGACTAGATTTGTTGGTATATAAAAGACTAATGTTGGGGATCCTTCAAGGATTGTACATGTTTATACAGGGGGCCACAAAAGATCTATCAATCACGTTGAAGGTTTGTAGCTACATGAAAGTAAAAAAGGCAGATGGGATACAAGGAACATGGGAAGCAGGAGGTAAGAGAGAGGTGAAGGTTTCGTAAGACCCAAAGAAGGAGAAAGTTTGGGTAAGATATGTACAAATATTGGAGGAATCGATGGGGCTAGTGAGAGTATAGGCAGTGGTGTTGACGATGAATGGGTAGGTTTAGAATTTAGTGTTAGAGTGGGTTCGGCAAAAGGTGTGTGATTTATCAGAAAGTGGGTGCAGGAGGGAAGAAAGAGGCGATTGGTGGAATGACTTAAAAGAGAGCAGTAAGAGAGAAAAAGTTAGCATTGGAGAGGTTTTTTTACAAAGTAGAATGATGGCAAGGGGGGAGAGTATATGGAGAGGAAAAGAAAGATTAAGAGAGTGGTGAAGCAATATAAAAAGAGAGCAGAGATTTCCGTGTATATTAGGGTAAGGAGGAATAAACATCTTGTTGCGAGCGAGAAGAGCGAGTTTTGCGTGTGGGGGGGGGGGGAAATTCGTGATGCAGTGGGTAGAATGAAAGCGGGTAAGGCAAGCCAGTGATGAATATGGATAAAGATAAGAAATGTTAAAAGCGGGTGGTGAGTTAGTTTTGGATGGTTAGTGGCTTTTATTAATAAATGTATGGAAAAGGTAAAGTAACTGGGGATTGGCAGAACCAAGCAAAAAAAAAAAGAAATGCAATAGTTCCTTTGTATAAAGGCAAAGGGGACAAAAGAGAGTGCAAAAATTATAGGAGAATAAGTCTGTTAAGCATTCCTGGTAAAGTGTATAGTAGAGTTCTTACTGAAAGAATTAAAAGACGGATAGCAGGTTAGCAGATGAACAAGGAGGATTAAGGAAGGGTAGGGGGTGTATAGACAATGTATTTGCAGTGAAAAATATAGGTGAACGGTATTTATATAAGGGTAAAGAGGTTTTCGTGGTATTTATGGATTTGGAAGAGGCCTATGACTGGGTGGATAGGAGGAGGGGCGATGTGGCAGATGCTGCAAATGTATGGAATAGGGGGTAAGTTATTGAAACAGTGAAAAGTTTTTACGAGGATAGGGAGGCTCAGGTTAGAGTATGTAGGAAAGAGGAAGATTATTTCCTAGAAAAGAAGGCATTAGACAAGAACGTGTGATCGTCCACCATGGTGTTTTCATTAAATTTATTTAATGGGGGTAGTAAAAAAAGTGGAATGCTCGGGTGTTGGCAAGAGGTGTGTGGTTTACAAGATAAAGAATCGATCACAAAAAGTAGGGAGTTGTCCCACAGTTTACTTTGCAATGACGACTGTGTTTTGGAGATTCTGAAGAGAAGTTGCAGGAGGTTGGTGGATGAGTTTGAAGAGTTTGAGAGGGAGGAGTATAATGTAGAGAAAAAGAGAGGTAAAAGAGTGGTGATGTAATGGGTAAAATGAGAATATTATGAACAAATTTTGTTGAAAAAAGAAAAATTTTGGAGTGAGATTAATAAGCTGGGAACACCGAGGGAACGAATAGATCTGTAATTAAGAACTAGGACAGGAGAGTTATAAAATGAGAGTTCGATGTAATAGGGACGATGGAGAGGAATATTTGAGGAATGTCTTAATGAAGACCAGGGAACTGTGATTTCCGTGTATAGGCAAGGAGAATAACCGTCTTGTAGAAGTGAGGAAGAGCCAGTTGTTATTGTGGGGGGGATTTCGTGAGGCCAGTAGTTAAAATGAAATAAGGGGGCAAAGCAGCTGAGACTGATGGGAAAAAATAGAAAATAATTAAAAAAAATGGAGGGGATATAGTTTTGGAGTGGTGAGTGCTTTTTAATTAATAAATGTATGGAAGTGGTAAGGGGGCCTGGGGAACTGGAAGAGAGCATGCATAGTTTCTTGTTATAAAAGCAAAGGGGACAAAAGTGTGTAACAAATTACTAGGGGAATAAATGCTGTTGAATATACCTGGCAAAGTGTAATTAGGAATATATTTATTGTAGGAAGTCCAAATAAATGAAAGAAATAAGTGCAGTTGGAAACCCTAAACCAACGACACTTAAATCCGTTTCCAGAGGGCTTATGCCGTTGGGCGTAGAAATTGCCGTTGGTCCTAGTAAGTTTTCCCCCCATAAGAAATAATGAAACTAGAAGTAATCCATTCCCTGACCCCCCAAAATCAAAAAAAAAAAAACAAAAAAAAAAAAAAAAAAAATACATGAAATATACGTTTCCTTTATATGGCAAGGAAGGGACCATGCAAAATAAACAATAATTAAATGTTCACTTACCTTTATAAGGATTTGGTAGATTGATGAAGTGCCAGCAGCAAGGGCAAAATTCAGAATTGTCTATTGCTTGGAAGAAGAATTCCCTTCCAGAAGGTCTCTGGTACCTATTCCTTTGGTGGGGTTACCTCCCTCTTGGTACTTTAATGCCACGAGGGAACCAGCTATATAGATCACTGGACCCCTGTCGCACAAAATAAACTAGCTGTGGCAGAGACTCTTTTTTTTTTTTTTTTCTCACTTGCCCCTTAGGATTTTCCCTAAAATGGGACAGCACTATTGGTCAATTGTACATGTTGCTAATGCAGCTTGCACTTCGGTACAGGATAAAATTCCTTCGATAAATGCTTGCACCTTTGTAAACATTGAACACTTTTCCCTAATCTTGTGATGAAAAGTCAAAATCTTCCTCCGTCCTCTCCCTTCCATCTTGGCTCTGAAGAACATTCCCCTCTGAGATGTGATCTGTTGTTTGTTGCTCCTGAAGCTCTTTCTTGCAGGTCTTCAAGTGGTTAGTTCTAGTTCTTCCTCGTCGTTTTCTGCACAAACTCTTTCCCCATCCTCGTCACAAACGCTCCCCACCCCAATGGACTTTCCCCAATGACACAATAGCCTCCACTACTGGCATAGTTTCCTGAGGGTTAGCCCCAAACCTTCAACTCCCTTTGTTCTATAACACATTCTGGCCACAGTTTTCCTCCAAGCAGAGTTCAAGGTCCTCTTAGTCACTGCCCCCCAAGCCTTAATCTATATGGATTACACAACTGAGGATATTGAAGTGGTCTTTTTCCAAAGACTCTCTTAGGGTCAATGAGTTGTCCTGAGGTCACAATTCAAAGCACTTTGAAAATACTGCTTTTCTGTAGTTTTTTTTTTTTGAAGGGTTTGAAATGACCTGCTGGATCCCGAATGGGCTGGAGAGAGGAGTTGTAATTAGAGGCAAAAACCGTTCACCTTAACGAAACCAAACTCTCCCCTTCAATTTCTTCTTGCAAGTCGTGATGATGAGCTAGGACAATTGGGGGTCCATTACCAGGAGGCACTTGAGTGACAATTTGCTTTTCTGGGAGGTATTTTTGCCACTGGTGGGTCCAAATACCACCATAAAACCCAGTTTTCAAGAAAAATACCCTAGTTGACCCATGGCCTTACTAGTTTGAAATCTCCACAGCACACACAAAATTACCCTTGACGATATTGTTTTTGTTGTTTTCTCCTGAACACATCTGGAGTATCAGAGTGATGATCCACCAATAAAGGCTTCATTTTGCAATCACCACTAGCATTACTACACAAACATTAATGTCAGCCTGTCTTTCATAGGCTTGACGTCCTGGGAGTGCCTTTTCCCCTCCAAATTAATATAGTGTCCTGTTTGGGCATTTTCTTTTCTTCCAAAAACAAGCCTGTTTTGTCACAATTCAACTTGTTCAGGTTTTAGGTATTGTTTATTTTCAGTCCTTCTCTATGTATTCCCTTAAAGTCCTTCAACAATTTTTTTCAGCCACATTTTTGTCTGCACTGCTGGCAGCCTCAACCATGCCTTACCACACTGTGTAGATGCCACTACAAATCTTATTAAATCCTCTACACCAGCCTTTGGTGGCCTTAATTCTTCAGCAGCATCACTATTTTGAGGCATTTTCCCTTAATGAGATTCATCATGCAAGCTTCATTGCCTTTTCACAAATTATAGAGTGAGAAACACTATCACCTTGATTAATTGTTTTTCGTTTAATTTCCATATCCTATAAACGTCCCTCCTCTACCCCTCTTCAACTGTTTGTGGTCTCCGTGTTGAAAAAAACATTCTTGAAAACTAACCCTTTCGCAACACCGCTTCCTTGATTTGGTTATTTTTTGCCTGTCTGTTTGCCAAGATAGACAGAGGTTGAATGTGATTTGTTTATCCTTTCCAAACTCCAGCCATACGCACTCCCACTCTCGTATTTTTTTCAATGATTTCCTTCATTTCCATCGTATTTCTCACCCTTTTAAAAACACAAGTATAACATAACCCAATAGAGTCCATAAGGCCTTTATCCTGGGTGTAAGAGGGAGCAAAATAAAACAACAGCAGAATACTTTTACTTAATATTATCCTCACACCAAATTGGAAACAGAAGTATGTAAACACTATATACACTATGGGGGTGGGGGGGTAACAGCAATGGTATGTAGTGCAACTCCACGGTAAGCAGGCAGAATAGAAGCCACTGAAGAGCAACTGTGCTTCAACCATCACTAGAATGGGAATGACCAAGGGCAGACAGGAGAGTGGTACCCGACATAAATCTAAGTGCGATTGGCCAAAACCATCTTCTCATTGGGGCTGGAATTAACCTGGGTACTGGGTTGAACCTGACATGGCTCCCATCGTCCAAACCCTCAGTCCCCCTCTGGTTCGACTGGTTTGGAAATAGCTTGTATAATGCTGGTGTGTACATGTGGCTGAATAAAGTGTTACGTACTTCCTTTGGCATGCCCACAAGGTGGCTTGGCAATCCCGAAGTTTTCTTTTGAACCCATGGTGGCTTAATTAGCTGTTACAATCACTAGCAATAGTGGAATAATCCAAAATATATGGGAGGCACACGTGGAAGAAACCGTCTGCAACAGCTTGTAAACCAATGGCAATACTGACTCTTGAGGTGGCTGGGTCTGCTCATGCCGAGCTCTGGGCGGAATCGACACGTTTCCCGGCAAACGTCGTTGGTTAAGTTTTTCTCGCCGTTGGTTAAGGCATTTTTTTTCTACAGTCAAAAAGCGCGCCGTGAGACGAAATGCCGTTACGTAATGCCGCCGTTAGTTGAGGTCAATTGTATAACTGAAAACCGTTGCAAAGAACAAATGCATTAGAGCGAAGCACTGTAAGTGGTGGGCGTTGTAAAAGTGAATGCTGTAAGGGTTAGATGAAGAACAAGATTCCATATGAACAGGGAGGCTATAGGAAGGTTAGGGGGTGTGTAGACCAAGTGTTTTTACAGTGAAATATGAAGGTAAACATTTACTTAGGATAAGGCTAAAGATGTTATGTGGCAAATTATGGATTTTAGAAAAGGCAAAATGATAGGGGTGGGATAGGGAAGCAAATTGGCGGATGTTTGAAATAGGAGGGAGGGAGATTATTTCCCCTGTAAAGAGACTTTAGAGGCGTGGATGTGTGAATGTCACCATAGTTATTCAATATATTTATAGATGGGTATCCAGAGAAGTGAATGCTTGGATGTAAGGCAGGAGGTGTTCAGTTAAAAGATCGAACAACAAAAGTGGGAGTTGTCACAGTTTGCTCTTTCCTGAATGCTGTGGCTTTTTTGGGAGAGTCTGAAGGGAAGTTGCAGAGGTGGGTGTATGAGTATGGGTAGGGAAGCAAAAGAAGGAAAAATTTAAAAGTGAATATAGGAAAGAGTAAGGTGATGAGAATAAACAAAAAATTAAGGGCGGGATGGGGGGGAGAGAGTAGGGAGGAGGTGAATGTATTCCAGATATTTTGGGAGTGGACGTTCAGCACCTGGGTCTAATGGAGGATGAGTGAATCATAGAAATGATGAGGTAAAAGGTGAGTTGGTGCAACTGAAGAGGGTCTGTTGAGACATGGAACATATGAGAGTATAGCTATCCCAGTGCCTTATATGGGAGTGAAGATGGGTATACTTGGGAAAAAAACCTGGAGATGCTTCAGGGGGTCCGAAGCGCCCCCGTGCCTCGGTCTGAGACCTGGGCCTCGTGTAGGATCAAGGGTCGTGAATCAACCAGGCTGTGGTTACTGTTGGTCCACACACCCCTACTTTTCCTAAGCCTCCTTGTTCATCTGCTATCCTATTCTCCGTCTTACTCTTAATTCTTTCAAATAATAACTTACCATACACTTTACCAGGTATACTCAGCAGACTTATCCCCCTATAATTTTTGCACTCTCTTTTATCCCCTTTGCCTTTATAACAAAGGAACTATGCATGCTCTCTGCCAATCCCTAGGTACCTTACCCTCTTCCATACATTTATTAAATAATTGCACCAACCACTCCAAAACTATATCCCCACCTGCTTTTAACATTTCTATCTTATCCCATCAATCCGGCTGCCTTACCCCCTTTCATTTTACCAACTGCCTCACGAACTTCCCCCACACTCACAACTGCCTCTTCCTCACTCCTACAAGATGTTATTCCTCCTTGCCCTATACACGAAATCACAGCTTCCCTATCTTCATCAACATTTAACAATTCCTCAAAATATTCCCTCCATCTTCCCAATACCTCTAACTCTCCATTTAATAACTCTCCTCTCCTATTTTTAACTGACAAATCCATTTGTTCTCTAGGCTTTCTTAACTTGTTAATCTCACTCCAAAACTTTTTCTTATTTTCAACAAAATTTGTTGATAACATCTCACCCACTCTCTCATTTGCTCTCTTTTTACAATGCTTCACCACTCTCTTAACCTCTCTCTTTTTCTCCATATACTCTTCCCTCCTTGCATCACTTCTACTTTGTAAAAACTTCTCATATGCTAACTTTTTCTCCCTTACTGCTCTCTTTACATCATCATTCCACCAATCGCTCCTCTTCCCTCCCGCACCCACTTTCCTGTAACCACAAACTTCTGCTGAACACTCTAACACTACATTTTTAAACCTACCCCATACCTCTTCGACTCCATTGCCTATGCTCTCATTAGCCCATCTATCCTCCAATAGCTGTTTATATCTTACCCTAACTGCCTCCTCTTTTAGTTTATAAACCTTCACCTCTCTCTTCCCTGATGCTTCTATTCTCCTTGTATCCCATCTACCTTTTACTCTCAGTGTAGCTACAACTAAAAGTGATCTGATATATCTGTGGCCCTCTATAAACATGTACATCCTGAAGTCTACTCAACAGTCTTTTATCTACCAATACATAATCCAACAAACTACTGTCATTTTGCCCTACATCATATCTTGTATACTTATTAATCCTCTTTTTCTTAAAATATGTATTACCTATAACTAAACCCCTTTCTATACAAAGTTCAATCAAAGGGCCTCCCATTATCATTTACACCTGGCACCCCAAACTTACCTACCACACCCTCTCTAAAAGTTTCTCCTACTTTAGCATTCAGGTCCCCTACCACAATTACTCTCTCACTTGGTTCATAGGCTCCTATACATTCACTTAACATCTCCCAAAATCTCTCTCTCTCCTCTGCATTCCTCTCTTCTCCAGGTGCATACACGCTTATTATGACCCACTTCTCGCATCCAACCTTTACTTTAATCCACATAATTCTTGAATTTACAAATTCATATTCTCTTTTCTCCTTCCATAACTGATCATTTAACATTACTGCTACCCCTTCCTTTGCTCTAACTCTCTCAGATACTCCAGATTTAATCCCATTTATTTCCCCCACTGAAACTCTCCTACCCCCTTCAGCTTTGTTTCGCTTAGGGCCAGGACATCCAACTTCTTTTCATTCATAACATCAGCAATCATCTGTTTCTTGTCATCCGCACTACATCCACGCACATTTAAGCATCCCAGTTTTATAAAGTTTTTCTTCTTCTCTTTTTTAGTAAGTGTCTACAGGAGAAGGGGTTACTAGCCCATTGCTCCCGGCATTTTAGTCGCCTCATACGACACGCATGGCTTACGGAGGAAAGATTCTTTTCCACTTCCCCATGGACAATAGAAGAAATAAAGAAGAACAAGAGCTATTTAGAAAAAGGAGAAAAACCTAGATGTATGTATATATATATGCATGTGCGTGTCTGTGAAGTGTGACCAAAGTGTAAGTAGGAGTAGCAAGATATCCCTGTTATCTAGCGTGTTTATATATATATATATATATATATATATATATATATATATATATATATATATATATATATATATATATATATAAATATATATGCAATAAGATCACAGTAAACAGGTGATTTTAAAATATGCAAAACAACCACTATGAAAGAGTAGTGAAATTCATCAATGTTTTTGAGAGCTTTACGTATTTGTAGTCCAGAGTTCATAGATGAAGAAATATCCAAAATTTATGAAATAGCCATTTATCTGAAATACCCGAGAAATGTAATTGATAAATCATTTAAAATTGCTAGAAATGCTTTTTACAACCCAAAAAGGGACAACCAGCCTTATTCAACTAAAAATATGTTGGTTCTCCAGTACCATGAAAACTTGGTTGATATGCCTTCTCTTCTTAAGACTTTTAATATTAAAGTTGTATTTAAAAATCTTGATACAGTAAAAAAAACTTCTGATAAAGAATTCCCCACAAAATGCTGACGGATGTGTCTATAAGATTCCTTGTAAAATTTGCGATAAAGTTTATTACGGTCAAACTGGTAAAAATCTCGAACTTAGATTAAAACAACATAAATATAGCATTAGAACTGGACAAGATTCCAATGCTCTATTTATTCATGTAAGAGATTTTAACCATCCAATTGATTTTCAAAAAGTTGAGAAAGTTGTATCAAGCAAGTCCATGGTCGACAGGAATATAATTGAATCTTGTTTCATAAAAAGCAGTTTTGACAATAATATGAATATTTCCTTAGGTTTATATAAATTAGACTCATTTATAATTAATAAAATTTGGTTAGAGTTTAATAATACATTGAACAAATAATAAACCTTATTTCTTGGGTAGAATATTTTGTTAGTGGGATGTCGTGAGGACCTGTCTAGTTGGACCAGCGGACCTACTGCAGTGTTCCTCTTTTCTTATGAGTCCGGTATTGTCGCGTGTCAGGTGTTTCTTTGTTGTGGGGGTTGACTGTGAAGTGTAGTCTAAGCCCTTTAATTGCCTTCCTTTGATGTATTACTTTCATAGTTCCTTGACAATATGAGTAGTCACGAAAGCACTTGGAATTTCACTACTCTTTCATAGTGGATGTTTTGAATATATATATATATATATATATATATATATATATATATATATATATATATATATATATATATATATATATATATATATATGTACATATAGACCTCCAGACGATGGAAAGCAGGATGAAAGACATTGACACACACGATGCCTTCTACCTACTCACCAGGTGCCTGTCAATCCCAAAACTTACCTATTTTCTGAGATGCTCCCCAGCCTTCAGCAGTCCAAAACTCAAGGAATATGACTCTCTCCTGAAGGCCATGCTAGAGAGTGTATTGAATCTTTCCCTTGACGATGGACAGTGGTTGCAAGCCTCACTTCCGCTTTCCTCACCAGCTTTCCTATCCTCTTCCATTGCATCAAACGAGTTGATAAGACAAATTCTTCCTGACACCCTCAGTGACTCAGCAGGAATAGAAGACCCTAGCTATGCCAGTGCCATCACCGAATGGGAGACTCTTGCTGCTCCAGCACCAAACCCTAGTGCAGCACTGGCTCACAAACAGTCAAGCTGGGGTGGCCCAATTGCTGAAAAGGTGCTTGCCAACATGCTCAGGGCTGCAACATCAGATAGGGAGATTGCCCGTCTCCAGGCTGTGAATGCACCTCACTCCGGGGACTTCCTCAAAACAGTTCCCATATCGGCAATGGGAACGCGACTCGATCCTAAGACCCTCAGTATTGCAGTGGCTCTGCACCTTGCTGCCCCAATTCACACAGAATATATGTGTATTTGCGGCGAAGTGCAAGCAGACCAATACGGTCTACATGGTCTTAACGGGTTCCAAAACCAAGGGTTTGGCATGCAAGACACAATGAGGTTAACGACATCATTAAGAGAACCCTTGCTACAGCTGGATGCCCTGCCGAGAGGAAGCCACGATCAAAAAATACCCACAACCCAGCAAACTGCCCCGACGGGATCACCATCTATCCTTGGAAGAATGGCAACTCTCAGCATGGGACTATACCTTGTTCCACACTGGCTGACACCTAAAATCCATCACAGTGTGGGGCGACAGGGAGGAGCTGTTGACCACAGGAGGAGAAACAAGATCACAAGTACAGGGACATTAGCCAACAATCAATTTGTCCCAGGGGGATCAGAGACCTTGGGATCAGGGGGAAAAAATGCCACATGCTTCCTAAAGAATTGGGTTCCAGACTCATCGACACCATCAGGGACCCAAGGGCAGCCACTTTCATGTTCCAGCGCCTCAGCATCCCCAAATCCAGAGGGGAAATGCTTGCTGCATACTTGCTCACGTCCAGCCTCGGAGGACTGGAGGAAATTTTGATCTTTGATACATTGTGCCATTGTATTTATGTTTATGTTTTTTCTGTAAATGGATTTTGTTCATTAATAAATGTTCACATAGAATAAAAAATATATAGGGGGTGGTAGGAGAAGAAAATATTCAAACAGCTCCGGGAAGAACCTTGAGTTTTCCCTGAGGTACGTTATTGTCTTCCTCTGAGGATGAGGGTCCCCATTCCAGCTATAGAGGTGGTAAATTCCCTATATATATATATATATATATATATATAAATATATATATATATATATATAATATATAATATATATAATAATATATATATATATATTTTATATGTATATATATATATATAATAATATATATTATAATATTTTGTCGTGGGCCGAAAACTTGCCTAACCTTATTATAACAAGAACAATTTATTTTAGCCTAACCTAAATAAATATATTTTAGATTTGTTTACATAATTTAAAAACTAAACAAACACAGTGAAATATATTTTTTTCGTTAGGTTCAGAATGATTTTTGGCGAAATTATTGCATACACAAATTTTCACTTGTCCTATATGGCAAGATGAGCATTGCATTTTTAAGCCAAGATCGCAAGTTCTGCCTATTCGGCACGACAATAAAATATATATATATATATATATATATATATATATAAATATATATATAATATATATATAATATATATATATAATGTCGTGCCGAATATGTAGAAAATGGTCAAATTTGCAAGAACTCATTTAAAATTAAGTCCTTCTGAAATTTTCTCTTATACGTTTAAAGATATATTTTTTTCATTAATGTTAAGTAAAAATTTTTAATTTTGCACCAAAAGAATCTTAGAAAACTTACCTAACCTTATTATAACAAGAGCAATTTAATTTAGCCTAACCCAACTAAATATATTTTAGATTTGTTTACAGTAATTTATACTAAACAAACACAGTGAAATATATTTTTTTCGTTAGGTTCGAATGATTTTGCGAAGTTATTGCATACACAAATTTTCACTTGTCCTATATGGCAAGATGAGCGTTGCTATTTAAGCCAAGATCGCAAGTTCTACCTATTCGCCAAAACCCAAAATATATAAATATATATATATAATATATATAAAAAATATAAAAATATATATATATATAATATATATATAATATAATATATATTATATATATAAAATATATAATATATAAATATATATATATTATATAATAAGACAAAATTTATTAGCCAAACTTCACAAAAATACAACAGAAAGTAAAACAACATAGGTAACTCAGAGCTACATCTCGAATACTTCGCCAGCTTTCCCCCGCCGTGGGCCGCGTGCCCAGAATCTGCAGGCATTTCCCCTCTGGATCGCAACACTGAGTCTCGAAAGAGGAAGCTGGTCGCCCGTGGCCCTTGGTTTCTATGATGAGCTTTTCCACCTAGCTTTTGAGAACTTTTAAGAAACACACTTGCCCCATGCTCCAAGGTCTCCGACCCTATTTGGGAAAGAAGTTATAGCAAGGGGGAAGGTCTTCATATTTTCGGATCTTCTGGGTCTCCCTGTGCTGGCAGCTCCACCCCCTTCCACTACAGAGTATGGCAAGTAGGTCTGCCCAAAGTGGCAGCACAGGGGTAGTCCCAGGGAATCTGCTTTCCATCCTTCCCGGTAGCATAGTGGCCCATCAGGACGCTTTTGACTTTCCCTCAGACCTCTTACTTGGGGTTCCCGTTGGCTGGGCAACGGGCTGTGGCGAGGCTTCTCTTTATTATATCATTGACCTCCTCATGTCTGGCATACTTCCCTTCTGCTGTGTGACACACGAGACCATAAAGTCCGAATTGATCAGCTGTCGCCCTGCCGCAAATACACCTATGTTCGGTGAGGATGGGGGCGCTAGGAGAAGAGCAACACCAATCCGAATGGCCTGTAGGTCGAGACGGGTGCCCAGGGAGGAATTGGGAACAGCTAACAGGAAATCTCCTGAGTGTGGTGCCTTCACTGCCAGGAGACGAGCTTTGTTCTTTCCTGAAGCATTGGAGAGCATTGTGTTGGCGATTTTTTCCATGATCGGTTTGTCCCAGTGGGACTGTTTGTGCTGTTTGGGGAGAGCTGGTCTACTGGAGGAGTCTGTAAGGGTGTCCCACCGAATCGCTGCTTCAGTAAACCTGGGGTCTTGAGCTCTTACCACATCTCTCAAGCGTTCGGGCACTATCTTCTTGACTAATGCACTGGAAGCCAAACACGAAGACAGTAAAGCAGGTAAAGCAACATGCGTTGGTTTACGCACCCCTATACCTCCCAGTCCCACTGGGAGGGTTGCCTGATCCCATTGCTCATCCTCTAGTGACAGGTTCAGTGCCTTCTTAAAAGTTGATCTCAGGTGTGCGTCATATTCATCGAGTGTTGGGTTGTCAAAAGAGGGTGCACACCTCAAGAAGTAAGTGAGTCTTGGCATAGTAAGACACCTTGTGAGGAGATACAGAGCATCATGGGCATCAAGATTGCTTATTCTCTCCTCCATTCTCATCAGGTCATTCAATTTGTCCCTGAGGACAGTATCGATGGCCTGATGACCCAGCGGTGCCCCCAAGAGCGTACTGTTGGACGGAGTTGTAGTTGAGACTTCTGGGAGGATTCTTCGCACAGCATTGATTATTTCCTGGTTTGCTGTGATGATTTCACACTTGGAGGGATTGAGGATGAGTCCCAAGTCTTCTCCCTGTGTTTTCACCAGTTGTAGGTCCCCCACCAGGGACTCTTCAGTACCTGCCAGAGTGCCGTCATCCAGGTACCAGATATTGAGCTCCAAAAAAGAAAGGTTTAATTTCTTCTAGGATTCGCCCAGCCAGGCAATTGTTGACGAAAGTTGTTAACTCGGTGAGAAGAATTGATGCAGATTCACCAAGTACTGGATTTTTTTTATATATATTATGCATAAATGTCAAAAGTATTTTTGTACAATATATGGAGCTCGGTCTTCAACAATGTTTTTATTATTATTATTATTATTATTATTATATATTAATTATTATTATTATTAATTATTATTATTATTATTGTTGTTGTTATTATTATTATTATTATTGTTATTATTATTGTTATTATTATTATTATTATTATTATTATTATTATTATTATTATTATTATTATTGTTATTATTATTATTATTATTATTATATTATATTATTATTATTATTATTATTATTATTATATTTTAATTATTTTTATTATTGTATTCTCACATTGCTTATCAACCATTGCCATCCATGCATTACCTGTTTTACATGACGTCCCTGAGAGGGCGCTGAAGAAGAAAGGAGGGCTTACTTTAAGGTTCTTCGCCAGGTTATAGAGTGAGGAGGGGCTGACGGAGGAGGCCGTAGGCTGTAGTGAAGTTGTACAACAGTTTCCAGTCTGCTTTACCCTGTGTGTTGGCGCTACCCAGGTCCAGGTAGTAGGTCGACACCTCCGTCAGCTACAGGAGGCAAACATTTCATGGAGTAAGAGTTGAACAGGAGATAGAGAAGAGAGATTTGGAGTCAGAGAAGAAAAATCTCCTGAGAGTTATTGGTCATCTGGAAATTATTTATATCATCTCCGGGTTACTAATCCCGGAAAGTTGTTAATACAGGATAACCGGAATGCTCAGTGATATAGCTTAGTTAAGTTGATATCCTTCTGGTGCTTGGCGAAGGTATTACAACAGCCAACTACTACCCAGGTAAATATTTTATGTCAGATGAACTGGAAAAGAACGTACGAAAAAACTTGCCTGTATGACTCATCACATCTTCCACGTAGCAGTCATTTACCTGAAAACTATCATCAATAACGAGACACTAGACTTATTAGTCAGACCTTTCCGGTGACGGTGTCAAAAGAGATGAGTCTGACAGCTGGGTTGTTAGCACCGGTTTCTGGAGACAGCGTGGAGCGCCAGGGAGTGACGGCAGGAGCAACTAGCAGGTAAGACACTGGAGAACCAGGATCGTGTTCATGCTGGTCCTTGAAGAACAACCTGCAACAACCCTACGCATCAATGCAACATTTTCAAGTTTTTGATATTAAACCACTAATAGAGTTCTGTATTCTTGTCGGATTCTCCATCCAATCGTAGAGATTTAGACTGAACCTCCACAAATTTATAAAATAATAGTCTCTCATTATCCTGTAATATTGTGAAGTGTGTTTCCATGACAGAGTTCCAAGTTAGAGTTTTATAACTTATAATAAATACACCAGAGTATAAAAAATATATTAGGATTTAACTGTTAGGAAGATCATTAATATTGGCATCAATAAATTTCACACACACACACACACACACAGGAACAATCAGTCAGGCACTTGTAAAAACTGTAGTACACACACACACACACACACACACACACACACACACACACACACACACACACACACACACACACACACACACATACCCGAAGGTGTAGGGAGGCAAAAACTAAGTGCAACAGAGAATGGAAAAGGTACAGGAGGCATAGGACCCAGGAAAACAAGGAGATAGTAGAAGAGCCAGAAACGAGTATGCGCAGATAAGGAGGGAGGCCCAGCGACAGTATGAAAACGACATAGCATCGAAAGTCAAATCTGACCCGAAACTGCTGTATAGCCACATTAGGAGGAAGACAACAGTAAAGGGACCGGGTGATAAGGCTGAGGAAAGAAGGTGGAAAACTCACAAGAAACGATCAAGAGGTATGTGAGGAGCCAAACACGAGATTTAAGGAAGTATTTACAGTAGAGACAGGAAGGACTCTGGGGAGACAGACCAGATGGGGAAAACCAACAAGGAATACACCAACAAGTGTTGGACGACATACATACAGATGAGGAGGAGGTGAAGAAACTGCTAAGGGACATCGATACCTCAAAGGCAAGGGGACGGGACAACATCCTCCATGGGTCCTTAGAGAGGGAGCAGATATGTTGTCGTACCACTTACCAAAATCTTAAACACATCCCTGGAAACTGGGCAACTACCTGAGGTATGGAAGACGGCAAATGTAGTTCCCATTTTCAAAAAAGGAGACAGAAAAAAAGGCACTAAACTATAGACCTTGTCATTGACGTGAAATAGTATGCAAAATTATGGAGAAGATTATCAGGGGGAGAGGGGGTGGAGCACCGGGAACGGAACAGGAGTATAAATGCCAACCAGCACGGATTCACGGAAGCAAATCCGGGGTCAAAAACCCTTCTAAAGTTTTATGATAAAATAACAGAAGTAAGACAAGAAGAGAGGGGTGGGTTGATTGCATCTTCTTGGACTGCAAGAAGGCCTTTGACACATTTTCCTCACAAGAGATTAGTGCAGAAGCTGAGCATCAGGCCATATAACGGGAAGGGCACTGCAATGGATCAGAGAATACCTGACGGGGAGGCAACAACGAGTCAGGTACGTAATGATGTATCACAGTGGGCACCTGTGACGAGCGGGGTCCCCCCAGGGGTCGGTCCTAGGACCAGTGCTATTTTTGGTAATGTAAAACGACATGACGGAAGGGTTAGACTCAAAAGTGTCCCTGTTTGCAGATGATGTGAAGTTAATGAGGAAATTAAATCTGATGAGGACCGGGCGGGACTTCAAAGAGACCTGGACAGACTGGACACCTGTCCAGCAAATGGCTTTTTCCGAATTTAAAATCCTGCCAAATGCAAAGTCATGAAGATAGGGGAAGGGCACAGAAGACCACAGACAGGGTAATAGGCCCAGGTGCCAAAGACTGCAAACCTCACTCAAGGAGAAAGATCTTGGGGTGAGTATAACACCGAGCAATGTCTCCGGAAGCACACATCAATCAGATAACTGCTGCAGCATATGGCGCCTGGCAAACCTGAGAACAGCATTCCGACACCTTAGTAAGGAATCATTCAAGACACTGTACACCGTGTATGTCAGGCCCATACTGGAGTATGCAGCACCTGTTGGAACCCCACTTGATAAAGCACGTCAAGAAACTAGAGAAAGTAAAAAAGGTTTTTCAACAAGGTTAGTTCCAGACTAAGGGAATGTCCTATGAAGAAAGATTAAGGGAAATCGGCCTGACGACACTGGAGACAAGAGGGTCAGGGAGACATGATAACGACCCTATAAAATACTGCGTGGAATAGACAAGGTGGACAAGGACAGGAGATCCAGGGAGGGGACACAGAAACAAGAGGCCACAATTGGAAGTTGAAGACACAAATGAGTCAGAGAGATAGTAGGAAGTATTTCTTCAGTCATAGAGTTGTAAGGCAGTGGAATAGCCTAGAAAATGACGTAGTGGAGGCAGGAACCATACACAGTTTTAAGACGAGGTTTGATAAAGCTCATGGAGCGGGGAGAGAGAGGGCCTAGTAGCAACCGGTGAAGAGGCGGGGCCAGGAGCTAGGACTCGACCCCTGCAACCACAAATAGGTGAGTACACACACACACACACATACATAGGATTTCACACCTTCCTGTTAACTGACCTGAAATCCCTCCCTCTAACATTCCACTATCCCCCTTCTCTTTCTCAATACCTATCTCTCTACCTCTCTGTACCTATCTCTCTCTCTCTCTCAATACCTGTCTCGCTCTCTCAAACTCTACCTATCTCTCTCCCTCTCTACATATCTCTCTCTCTCTAAACCCATCTCTCTCTCTACCCCATCTCTCTCACTACCTCTCTACCTATCTCTTCTACCCATCTCTCTCTTTGCCTATCCCCTCTCTCTCCACTCTCCCATCTCCCTCTCTCCCCTCTACATCACTTTAAATTAACCCCTAACACCTCCTCCCCTCTAACGTTCTCTCCCCCTCTCATTATTTCTCCCCCTCTCCCCCATTTTCCATCTCTCTCCCTCTCTCTCTTCCATCTCCCCCTCTTTTCCCCTGTGTCTCTCCCCCTCTTCTCTCCCCCTCTCTCCTCCCCTCTATTTGCCCCCTCTCTTTCTCCCCTCTCTCCCCTCTCTCTCTCCTCTCTCGCTCTCTCTCCTCTCTCCTCCCTTTTCCCTTCTCGCTCTCCCCTCTCTCCTACCTCTCCCTTCTCCCTCTTTCCCTCTCTTTCTCCCCCTTTTTCCCCTTCTCACTCTCCCCCTCTCTCTCTCCTACTTTTCCTTTCTCTCTCTCTTTCTCTCTCTCCTCTCTCTCCCCTCTCTCCTCTCTCTCTCTCTCTCTTCCTTCTCTCTCTCTCTCTCTCTCTCTCTCCTACTCTCTCTCTCTCCTCTCTCTCTCCCCTCTCTCTTTCTCTTTCTCCTCTCACTCTTTCTCTTAAAAAATAGGAAGAAGGAAGAAAAGGGAAAAAAGAAGGAAAAAAAAGAAAAAAAATGGTGGGGACTCACAGGAACCAGGGATCAGATGAGAATGGTTCTGGTAGGGAGGAGTGGATGGAGGAGCAGTGGAAAAGGATGGAACAAGAGTGGGAGAGAAAAATTAGTAAGCCTTCTGAAAAATTGGAGCCCAGTGCTCTCTGAAAAAATTAGAAAAGGGGTTGGAGGAGAAGAAGAATTGGGAGGCACAGATCGAAACTGCAGTAACCAGGATAAGGGTTCTAGAAAATGAGGTAAACAGGCTGAAGCAAGTTATATGGGCACTGACCAAGAAGACACAGCAATGAAGCTGAGAGGCCGAGCAGGAAGGAAGGAGATATGAATTATGCTAAGATCATAATCCCGCCTGCCAAGAAGGGCCAAGGAGTGAAAGGGAAGAACAGCTGGGTGCAGGTGGAGAGGGTGATAGGTCAAATGCAGAGGCACAACAATGCTACCAAGAACCACTGGAAAAAACAAGGGAGAAAATGACCACGTACAGACAGGCACCAGAGTCACAGGGAGAGGCAATGGGAGGAGAAAAGGGCAAAATCAGTGTTTATCCACGGGCTTCAGGAGAGAGAGGAAAGGACACACGCTGAAAGACGGCAGACAGAAAGAAAGGAGATTGAGAACATCATTACAGAAATAGGTGAAGAAGATATGGACGAGACTGTAAATTTTCAGAGAATAGAAGAGTACTCGAAAGGGAGAAAACGGCCGATCAAGCTGATTCTCAGGACAGAAACAGTGTGGAACAGGATCCTCCAAGAGAAACCATGGTTGATATACTCGAAAAAGTACAAGAGGGTGTACCTAGACAGAGACAGAACACAAACAGAATGACAGCAGCTGAGGGAGAGAACAAAAAAGAGAAAGGAGCTAGGAAAGGAGACAAGAATGGAACCAGCAGAGGTCAATCAGAGCAGAACAGACCAGCAAGGGCAAGCACACACATAACTATCCTCAGAACACCATCCCAACACAAACTACAATCCACACTCACAGCTTCCACCCAACACCCAGCTATAGAATCCAACAGTATGCTACCAGGTCTCCCAACCTCACAGGCCCCCAAAACCACAGTGTTGGAAAGGAAACTGAAGGTATGGTACACAAATGCTGATGGAATAACAAATAAGTGGAAGGAGTGGCACGAAACAGTCAAAGAAGCATCACTGGACATCATAGCTCTCACAGAAACCAAGCTAACAGGTATGATAACAGATGCCATCTTTCCAATGGGATACCAGATCCTGAGGAAAGACAGAGGTAGCAGGGGGATGGAGGAGTGGCACTGTTGATCAAAAACTGATGGAATTTTGATGAGCTGGAGAGAAGAGACAGCGGAGAAGCAAGCGATTACATAGCGAGAACACTTCACTCTGGAGGTCCAAAGGTGGTAATTGCAGTGATGTATAACCCACCACAGAACAGCAGGAGGCCAAGGCAAGAGTATGACGAGAGCAATAGAGCGATGGTTGACACCACTGGCTGCAGTGGCCAAGAAGCTCATGCATGCACACACACCTCCCTCTCTCTCTCTCTCTCTCTCTCTCCCTCTCTCCCTCTCTCCCCTCTCCTCCCTCTCATCTCCCTCTCCTCCCTCACTCTCGCCCTCTCTCCCCTCTCGTTCTCTCCCTCTCGTCCCCTCTCTCTCTCTCTCTCTTCTCTCGCTCCCTCTCTCTCCCTCTCTCTCCTCTCTCTCTCTCTCTCACTTCC